ACCTATAATCGTAGTTCAAGTCTTCTTGGACTCTTGGCTAATTCATCAAGAACCCCATCCGCTAAAATTTCAATTTGTCGGTGAATATTTAATAATGCCATTCCATTTAGTCTATCCTCGCAAGTAGTATTTCGCAAGTACGTTTTTAGCCGTCTGAGAGTGGAAAAAGAGCGTTCGCTAACGGCAGTTGTTACAGGCAATGTTACACATATTTGCAGTAGTTTGTGTACTGTTGGAAATATTTTTACGTCACACATTAAAAAAGCTTGATGAGCGTTTTGCGGTACATTTCCACTTGTAATAATGTGGCGCCACCACAGTTTCAGTTCTCCAATGCTTTCATCGATGACACTGCTGTTAATCAAACGTTCATATTTTTGCATAAGTATTATGGCATTCTTTTCCTGTTCTTTGGTAAAACCCGAGTCATTGGGTAAAAGACACATAAAACCTCTCAAAACAGATTTATGTTTTAACAATCTGTCTCCTATTTGACATATAACCGAATCAAGGAAAGGAATAAATACAGCTATTCTGTAATACTCTTCAGGCGTATTTGCCATAACATTGCAGCGTTGAATTTGTTTTCCAGCTCGACGTGGAATAAGTATATCTATGTCGAAGTCCTCACAAATGTCTTTGACTTCATTAAATACGGTAGTAAATTCTGATTCAGCAACCTTCCGCATATTCACTAGTAGGCTACTTGAATCTTCTGTAAATTTTAGAGCCGCAGATAGATCAAAGTTTTCTGTTTGGAGTATTCTGCTGACAGGAAGTGTTATTGCAAAGATTTTTGAGATAACTCTAAGAGAAACTTGAAACTCAAGACTCCTAATTGCTCCTAAAAGTTGAACCGCTGTTGAAGAAGTTGTTGTATCGTGCCAGGATGACATAATTTCCAGTGCATCAACAGTTGCTTTTTGAAGCTGTATAAAAACGTTGACAGACTCATGACGCTCAATCCATCTGGTTGCGCACAATCGTTTAAGTCGAGATGCTGATGCTTTAGGTGTTAATTTCTCTATTGAATTTGCAAGCAAAGATTGTCGTTTTGGTGTGTTAAAAAATGTGTATGTACTATTAAGGATTCCCATACAGTTTCTCACAGCTGGTAGTTCGCAGGCATCAGAAAGTGCTAGGTTTAGACTGTGAGATGCGCAATGCACGTAAATAGCCAAATCAAATTTCTCAGCAACATATTGTTGCGCCCCATGAAGTCGACCACTCATTGCAGCGGCTCCATCATATCCTTGACCTATCATAAAATTACCGTCTATGTGTAAATTTGCTAGAGTGTCCATTAAAACATTTGCAAGTCCTTTGCCTGTTAGATCAGTTACACCTACACACTGTAGGAAATCCTCCCTTATTTTCTTTATGTCGTTATCATAGTAGCGAACACACAACGAAAATTGCTCCATACCAGCTATATCACTAGTTTCATCGGCTAAGACAGAAAACAATTTAACAGAAGTAATTTTCGCAACAATCTTTTGAACAATTAATTTATTGCACACATTTATCACTTCATTCTGAATGGTGGGACTTAAGTATCTTGCATTTTTTGAAGAATTTTCTAGATGATGTTTAAGTGTTTCGTCTCCACCCATGGCTTTGTATCTCAAAAGAGCTCGAAAATTTCCATCATTTTCGTCAGGATCCTCCAACTGAAAATTTCCGAAATCCCTGTGCCCCCTAAGTGCAAGACCTTGTCGGCCGCAAAAAATTATAGTTTCTATTATGGGCGCTAACCTTAAACGATTTTCTAGAATTTGTTGACTTAATGATGAGTTCAAGGCGATGTTAATAGGTTCTATTTTTTTCTCCATAACCGATTTACGATTTTGGGAAAGTAAAATTGCTCTTTTATGATATTCACATTGCTGGTGCTCATTAAACTTGTCTGTTGCCTTTTTCCAGTTTGAAAATGGAATTTTCGATAACTTACCTAAAGGCTGACTACCTACACCACCATAATTCAAACTAAAAAAAACACAATATTTGCAAAATGCGCCATCAAGTAATTTGGAATAAGTCAACCAGTTCCACCTAAGTAGCCACGAATATTGAAACTTTAAATTTCTTTGTCCGCTTGCTGGAAATTTAAAAAGTTCTTCAAGACGCCAGATGTTTTCTAATAAATACAACCGTGTATCATCTGTAATAACTCCTTTGATAAAATTGCCGATATCATTTGCATAAGAAACAGTCAAAGGTGCTGAATTTATGGAAATTTCTTGATGTAATGTAGTTTGAGAGTCAATAGTACCATCTTCATTTTTATCATTTTCAGTTTTATTTTTCTTTGTAAAGAAATCAGTTAATAAAGTAGTTTTAAATTTCATTTTTCCATCCGACATCATTAAAATGAATTTAAATTGCTTTAATTATCAAAAAGATACACATTAAAACACGACTATGCGAATAAGAAAATAAATAATTATTGGTCTTTCTTTTCTGACTGTCTAAAAATGACTACTGTAGGTTCCTGGCTCTACATCTATATTTAACCACCTACGCAGTTTTTATATCTACCAACACTAAGTTTTGTGTCAACAATTGTGGGTCCAGCCCACGCTTTCCTGCCAGATGTGCATCCGGTAGTAATTGAGACGTACCCGTATTCAAACCCACCCTCACCCCCCCCCCCCCCTGTCACACCCTTTAACTGATAACCTTGTGTCCTCTGCCATCTTTATCATTTTCAGTTTACTTATGTTTTTAAAAATTAAATAGTTTTCAGTTTCCCTGTTTCATCCGCCATTAGTGAAATGAATTTCAAATGTTTTGAAGTAGTAAAAACATACACATTATAGAACCTCAATGCGAATAATAATCAATTCCTTCGTTGTTTTTTTTTTTTTTTTAATTTCTAGACGCTTTCCGGTTGCACTACAATCATATTAGACAACAAAGGCCTACCCACGTAGCCCACCCCTGCCCATTCGACACTCCTTAACTGATCTAACCTTGGCCAACTTTCCCTTGGCCTACTGCGTTCCAGATTATTATACTTAACTTTAGCACGATAATAAAATTCATAACTAAATTCTATAGGCAATTCTCATCACAATGATATACATTGTTGTTCTAGAGGCTGCCAGGTTAAGTGTTTAGTGTTTAAGCCCTAAATAATATCGACACAAGTCATTAGCTGTAGCTTAACGTAAAAAGGTAGTCATATTGGGGGTACATGGGGGGGGGGGTTATAACCCCCCTAACCCCCCCCCCCCCCTGCCTACGCCACTGATCAATAGCATGTCGGCTTGGTATCGATACATTGCCTTAGGTACAGTTTACGCGTTCTGATCGGGCTGAGTCTCAGGTTGTCTGTTGAGGTGTGTTTACGTGTTGTTGGTTGCATTGTTTGACTAATTGTCTGTGGTCGTGTAGTTATGATATGTTTGTTTTCAACATGGAATTACAACTAGAATGTTTATGTGACTTAGTAGACGCGTTTTGCAAATAATCTGTGGAATGGCTTGTGGGATGTCTGGGTAAAGTTTAAACAGAAGCCATACAACAATGCCATACTTCTTACAGTGTTATAAACATGTGAGCTAAAGATGTATTATGACAATTGTATTGTTTTTGTGAACATCCAGTTTACTAATTACTTCCCATTTTAACTTCTTATTTTAACAAGGGAAACAATAATATACATTTCAGAGCAATAGCTATGTAAGAATTTGAAACAAATAAACACTTATTAAACAATGAAATCGGATATGTACAGTAAGTACAAAAAACAGTTTGTAAGAAAATTTGAAATAATTCGGTGAGTGTATCTTTGTTTTAAGAGTAATTTTTTGTTCCGCTTATTATACAAAACTTTATTGAATTAGCTTACACCTTTTAAAGACATTCGAATAAGCCGATTAAACAATTTTTCACCATCAAAACAATCTCCTATAGCAGGGGTCGGCAACCTGCGGCTCGCGAGCCGCATGCGGCTCTTTTGGTGTCCAGTTGCGGCTCTTCAGCTCCATGCACAAATATTAATAATTATTTTATTTTCAAAACTCATAAAGATTAGTCTGCAACACTCGGTAATAAACGATATAACAATAGATATAAACAATAAACATTCACTATTCTATTATAGTATTTAGTTTCTCCCTATCTCAATGTACTTCCTATTACATTGTCCATTCCGAATTTAAACATTTAACTTCATAGTGGATATCACAAAGAAACTAAACCAGCTAATAGTTAGTGTAAAACTGAAAGGAAAGCCCGGATTATGTCTTGCTTGAATAAGTGGTTTGTTTCGAAAAAAAAATACTTTTTTTGTTGAATACATGGTGAGCGGTAAAATTACTAAAGTACGAAAAATCTGAAAAAATATCGTTATGAAACCAATGCTGCTATTCAATCACTTCAGCATTAATATAAACAAAATGAAGGATGTTTTCACTGAGAGATTTGAGCACTTCAAAACAAATGCAAGTACTCTGACTTACACAGAAGATACTCTCAGCACAAATTCAAATGAGATTATTTCATATGTTCAAAGCTATTTATTTAAAATTACATATATAATATATTTGTTTAGGATTATTTATATATATATATATATATATATATATATATATATATATATATATATATATATATATATATATATATATATATATATATATATATATATATATAATCCTGAACAAATATACTATTAACATAAAAATGTTAGTGGCTCTTTGAAAACTGGGTAATGTTGTAAATTGTAACTTTTGGCTCTTTTGTCTCAAAAGGTTGCCGACCCCTGTCCTATAGCAACCTATACTATTTTTTAAAATGTTTATCTAGAATATTAATTAGAGATGAAAAAATATTCGATAAATATGTACTATTAACAAATAAGAGAAAAATTAAAGTAAAAACAAAGAAAAAATATTAGACTTCGGTGTATCAGAGGCCGTGTTACATAATAAAATATTGATATTGTTAACGGTACAAGGAAACATGTAGAAATATTGGTAGCGTATTTATGGTGATAATCAGTAAAATGCTGGTATTCAACCGGTAAGAGGGTCTGTGCCGCTTCTTTACCGGGAATATAGATTCTAGTATAGTTTTACTAGAGGTAATATCATTAAGGTCTGATGATTAAGGGTCAATTCAATGCCCAAAGTTTACAGCCTTATTAGAATAATAATTTCTTACCTGGTCCTTGTCTCTGGCAAGGGTTTACGGCTGGTGAATAAAATAAAATAGCAGGTCCGATGACTACGGGTCAACTCAATGCCCGCAGTTTATAAGTATACTATATATAGCATGGTGTTACAGATTGAAATCATAGGTATATCGAAAGCAACCATTTGGTTTCTTCCATCTTTTATTCCTATGATGCCCAATTCAGTGTACACATAGTCAAGGCTCCAGACAAGATTTATGTCTTTTTCTGAATACTTTTTGGCACTACTACTTGTGTAAGAATGTACTATTATAATTTAATTACATTAATTTTTAAGCCAGATTATTACAATAAGTCATTAGTATGTATACATGCGTATTATCATGTGTAAATAGTTAAAAAAACGATTTAAATGCATGTATGATGATATTTTGTGATCTATTTTAAGAATAGCGGGAAAACAATAAGGTGTAAAAGCAAATCAATTATTCACCTGTTAGAGTATATGCATACGAATAAACTAAGGCGATTAAACTAACACATTTAACAATGTAAATAAAGTAAAAAGTTAGGATAAAAAAAAAACGAGCATGAAAAACGAGCGCCATAAAAGTTATAAGAGTTATAAATATACTTCCCGTCCCGGTCTTTCCCGTGATCGCGGTGGAGCCAACGTTATTTTAAATAGTGAGATAGATTATTGATAGGATGGGGCGTTATAACCATTCACTAAATTTATTCAAGCGCGTTTGCCGGCGCTCCGTCAGGGTGCAATTCGGCGCCTTGGGCTATCACGTGAGCGCTATGACGCCTGCATTCTTATGATCGCCTTTAAACTTTGGGAAGTTGTGGAGAATCCCTTTAGGGAGGTTTCTGCGGGAAAAAAGTAATTGTCGCTTCGACGGCGCCCGTACGTTTTAAAGATTGTAATAAAATATGGATAAGAGTAGTATTATAGTATTCCTAAGTTGAACCTGAGACGTCTAACCGTCAATTAAAAAGTTGCATTTTTAAGTTGATTTTTTTTTTATTTAGCAGTACACAATGTTCATAATGGTGGCAAATGAAATCAAATTACTTGAAGAAAACAAAAGCAATAACGAAAGTAGATAGCTTAAAAAAAGGTTTTGTAGTTTGTTATAAAACAATTTCCTTAACTTTGAGGTTTTTCTTAATTAATGTTATCTTAATATCTGTTGTATCATATAATCAAAATATGTTCCTTCAATATCCTCATTTGTGTTCTCTCACTCAAAAATAAAGCAGAAGGAAAAACCAACTAGCAGTAAGAAATCAACCTGTCACACAGTGATAGTCAAATTTTTCAGATATTTTTTTTTATAATCATATTTATAATAACAAATATCACCATTCATACCTTTGAGCAAATCTAACCCTATAAAAAAACAGCATTGAAAACAAATATACAGATATTTTTAGCTTACCTTACAAAACCTCTGAGTAAATATTAAATGGGTCCTAACGTAACCAAAGTTATTTATAAAATAAACTTTTATCATTTAATGTTACAACAAGTAGGTTTTCTTTTCGTTATAAATCAGATTTTAAAATATTTAAACCTGTACAAAATGTCAGTTTCTTTTAAATTTTGAGAGATAAATAAGTAAAATGAAAAACTAGTGAAAGCTGTCTTTTGTTCATTAACGTTTACAAAATATACACAGGAGAAATTAATAATTTACAGAATAAACATGTTCACAATCAAATGTAGTGTCTTATCCCACAGTATCACAAAAAAGCAGTGCTCATTTTTATATAAGTCACCTTAAAAAAATCTAAAGTAAAGGAAATGTAAATTCTAGTACTTATCAACATTTGGTCAAAAATAATTTAATACCTGGCTTAGCAACATGTATGGAGAATACCTGTACTTAATGCATAACCAAGGCTCTTAATATAAACCAATATAAAAAAAATAATAAACTCTTTATTTAACAGGAATTAATCAAAACTTAATGATTTTGTCACTGATGTACATGCATTTAAATTTTTACTTGCACAAAACACATATCTGAAGCATACTTTTATGAAATACATTTTATAAATATTATTTGTATTTTGCTGATATGACATAATTACTTCATAATTAATAATTTTCATAGATTTATTATTACTTAAGCATGCATATAGCATAACCTCCAAAAATTATTGTTTACCATTTTTAGCTTAATTTTTTCTTAATCCAATTAAATTCTAAAAGATTGAACCAAGAAATTAGTGTCTAAAATATATTTAAGCTTTCAAGGAAACCACAATAATAATGGTGACAATAACTGCAATAACCAGGAATATGACAACTAAACAGCACATCTTCTTTCTAGATTTCCTCTGATAGCCTACTCGGCAGCCTTTATAAGTTGCTCCTGGCCAGATTCTACATTTGTAAATGCCCTTTCTACATTCCTATCAATTGTATCTATTTCTTCCCTTTGTGTGTGTATAAGTGCACATAATTTACGAAAAATTTCATTTACATCTGAACTGTCAGCCTCTAATTGGTGAATTCTTTCTTCTCTTTCACGAATGACGGCTAAG